CGACATTCTCGATCCTGTGCCAGAGTCTGAGCTTCGGCAGAATACAGTCACAGTGTAGAGTCGACTCTTACAGTACACTTGCTTCACACTAATCCTACTCGTCTCTTGGGTCTTATGCCGGTCGGCTGGAAGTGAAATAGTTGCTTCGCCTTTCTCGATTCATTCACAACACGTGTCCAAACCATCACAGGAATGATTTCTCAGTTTGATAATGTAGCGGTTGTACACCAAGGATCTCGTGGATTTCTGTACTCCGGGTCATGTCGAGAAGCGTAAGGTCAGGGAATCATCTCATAGAGCCCATTTCAGCTACTTGTACCCGGGATCGAAGTTTTTCAGCCATATACTCTGAATCGTGACCGTAGTTAAATATCAGGATGAACATAGAGCTGAACACCGAGAGTTTAGTCTTCAGATTCAGCTCTCCTTTAATCACAACGTTTCAGGCCAGTTGAGACAGAACGTTACTGGTTGCTCCAATTCGCTGGTCGACCTCTTCCTTAAATATCACATCACCAATAAACACCACCACGAAGAAGTGGAACTTCTTCACCTGCTCAGCTACTGCTCCGTTTATCTCATAACCGCGATGGGAATGAGAAACACCAGGCTTTTCGTTTTAGATGCGTTCACATGCCGTCCAGGTTGAATTCAGCTGCGAACCTTTCCAAAAGGCGCTGTAGATCACTTTCAAAAGATGCTAACAAAACAAGGTCATCAATCAACAAAAACGTCGTCTCCACATTTCCTGCACTGATATTCTCGTCGTTCTGACTCCTGACTGCTCTCCCCATGTACAATATAAACTTGAGAGGGCACAGAACGCGTGTTTGGCGGAAACCAGTGCCAGTGCTGAAGGGTTTCGACCTAATGCCATTTGACCTGGCGCAGCACCGGCTAAATCGCTAACGATTAGATGGCCTGTAGCGACTTACCGTCGATCCCTTATGTTCGCAGGCATGCTTCACAGATTGTTGCGCGGTATCCGGCCATAGGTCTCCTCTAAGTCAATGATGCACATGTAGACTGGATCGGCGAACTCCCACGATTTCTCAACAATCTGGTATAGGGCGATTATCTAGTCGGGTGTTCTTTAGCTGGTTCTGAAGCCTCGCTGCTCTGTGTCTTGGAGTCAGTTATTTCGCTTTACCTGTCTAGCAGCTTTGCATAGATTTACCCGTCAGGGTACATAAGATAATGCCCCGGTAATTAGAGCACTCCCTGTGGTCTCCCTTCTTGAATAGGAATACTAAAACTACCGTTCTCCGGTCCGCTGGTGTTTTCGCCGTAGCCACCGCAGTTATACAAACACGTCTAACCCAGCACATGGCTTGTTGGCCTATTGCTTTAACTATTTCAGGGCGGATGTCATGTATTCCACAAGCGTTGCTACTTTTCAAGCTTTTCACTGCTTTGTGTGATTTCATGTACAGAAATACTAATGTACCTAATATCCGTTTTCCCTCTACGTTGCAGGGAGCCTTCATCCGGTTGCTCGAGGTTAAGGAGTTCCTCACATCTGTCCACCGCTGTACTCTCCATCGCTGAAGAATGGCCTCATCCTCGGTAAAGTTCCAGACTTGTCCTTCAAGATTCTTAGACTGCCCTTTTTTCATCTCGGAGTCGGCGGACGGTCTGCCAGAATACCTTGATTGCCATGTGAAAATTCGACTCCACCACCTCACCAAATTTCTCTTAGGAGAATCTGCTTTGGCTTTCGCCACTGGTTTCGCTGTTGTCTTGCGTGCTTCAGCATATCGCATGTGAGTTGAAGACTTTGTATTCAAGCCATTTCTTGATTGCAGCCTTCTAATTGACTGCCAGCTGTCCCACCTGTGTGTACCACGAAATTGTTTTCTGACCTCCAGGCGGCAGGCCAACTACTTGAAATCCGCAGCATTCGGCGGCAACCTCGAGTATGCTGCTAGTAAAGAGCTCCCATTTTGTTTCCACATTTGCGGTCATCACTTGGCTATATTCAAACCGTCGTGCGATGTTTGCATTTTTCGCTCTCGTGTCCACCGAAGATAATGTTTCCCATTTGTTTCGCTTTTTGCTTCTGCCACCAGATCTTCGCATGGTACTCCGTTTCTTACAGCGCAGCGTGGCAACAACAAGGTGATGATCGGTTGATAGCTCTGCGCCTCTTTTAACACGA